CTTTTCCCCATCCGTAGGCTGTGGTGGTGATTCGCTGCAGATTGGGTGGAGAGTGTGGGGGAGGTACACTTTGGCAATACTAAGGGGGCGGCGGGGGGGCCTTGTAAGATTGTGAGGGTGATACTTGTTTCAGTATTTGCATAGTGAAAAAACAAAACACAGGGGCTACCGTGATGCTCTGCAGGGGGGACGGGTAACTTTTGGGGGTTCCAATGGCTACCGCTTGGCTAACACGAAGCCAGAGCAACCGACGCAGTTCGACCTTGCTCTGTGTTTGATGTACCATTGGGCGAGCAAGTCGACTCTCCTCCCACAGTACGACCAATCAGAAGGTGTATGGGGGGGGGGTACCTTCCACATGTGATGCTCTGCATTATTTAAAGCTCCTCCCCCGCTCTGCCTTTTCTGATCACCACGACATCTCTCCAACAGTGTTCTGGCACAATTTTCTTTAGGATACCAATATCGGATTGCCTTACGGCCCTCTTGTGGCTGCATCCTGATGTCTCACCCGTGACGTTTATTTTGTATTTTTTTTTTTGTACTTTTAAGGTTTGTTTTTTTTTGTCTGCCATTTTTTTTTCTTCACACACAAATACAGAAAGAGAAACTGATCCGCGACGGTTCCTACATCTACTGTACAGCATATTGTAAATATGTATTAAAACTCAATCCGGGATTGGACGGAGGCAGAGAGTAGTCACACTTTGTTACAAAGTATTCTTCCATTCTTCTTTTTTTTGAAGATGATTTTGCTGTTTTTTGGAATAATTTCTAATCTTCGTGTGATAGAATTAGTTGTGACTTCTACCAATACATGTAAATAATTCTACAAAGGTCTCTGCAGAAAAAAACAAACAAACACAGGCGATTATTTCATCTTTTTTTTCCTCCAATTTTTGGTTTCTAAGTAACTAGTGAAAATAAAAAAAAAGTTCATTCTAATAACAGGGTATATTTTCTATTTTACATTTTTTGTTCAAAAAAAAAAGTGATTTAAAAAAAAAAAATCATTTTTCTAAAATACAAAAGTATGCAAATAGTTCAGTATTAAGGGTACAGCGCGCTAGAACTCCGCACCTTGCAGAGTAAGTCAAAGAAACCATACAAAGGGTGAAGAACCATAAGAGGAGGGCATCTGAACTCGTGACTTCAATATAAATCATTACCCCCGTTACCCA